GAAGGATTGCTTCANGTTTTTTATTGTGCTTAAATTACATTTTCACATGACCNGGAAAATTCTATCACCCCTTATCCTAGTGTCTGATTTGGATCAACAGATACTCATCCAAGAACATCACAGAACAATCAAGAGTGTGAAAATGCGCTCTTTTTTTTTTAACCAAACAAACAGAAATTATATTAAACCAGCAACAAAAGAGAAGTGGGAGAAAAAGAATGGCAAAGAGCACACATCTAAGAAGCTGAATTATTCGCCTCTGGCCTCTTTTCTTACATAATGCAACCAGGCTGCAAGTGAGTTGTGGAATTGGTGTTGAACTGAAGTGCTTCTAACCAATAAAAGAAAGGAAGATTGAAAGCTTATTAGCTCAACTTGTCCAGCACACATTATGCATGATAGGCTTAATGCTAATATTTTAGTGGTCTTTCATGATAAGATTGGGTACATGACCTGACCAGGGTATAGCAATGGTCTTAATGGAGAAATCTTTCTCTGCATGGCAACAAGGCATGTCGTAATGTTGGCTGGGCAAAATTATTTAACTATCTTGCTTTTTCCAGTCACCCATACATACTATAACTTGGATAATCAACTGTATTATCATTCATCATATTTTAGAATCCTTTGGCACACTTTCTCTGAATCAAAAGTGAATACATCCTCTAAGTGAAGAATTTGAAGTCTGATCACAGTTTTTTGTTTCTGATGTACAATTAACATGCATTGTTCTGTCATTTACTGGCTGAATATGCCACTGTTCTTTGTCTCGGTAAAGGTTTTGGAATTAAACTGTATTCTTGTTAGATCCCCTGCAATTAACAGGATATTTTCAAGATTAAGGAAAAATCATCTTTTTTTACTCTTATCATATTCTTTAATACATCTAGTTGATTCATGCGTGCCAACCATTCTGCTAACCCTTGAAACCTTGATGTTTTTGCTGCAGAAATTTCACCACACTAGCCTTATTGAAGGTCTGAACATTACAGATGAAATGCTGAGTCCGCATTCATTCACAAGGCAGATGGTAGACCAAATATCTCTTGCAAAGGCTTTGGTTATCATCTCTAAAGATAGCAATAATCTCCAGTTTGCAGCTGAGCTTAGTGCCCAAATCCGGAAATGTCAAGCTCTTCTGTCCAAGTCTGCAACAATGGCGACCCCATTAACCACAGAAGAATGGGAAACAGCAATTCATGATATGGCTCTCCTCCTCTACCAAGCCCAGGAACTCCATTATGACAGTGCAACCATGATTATGAAGATGAAAGGTCAGTTCGAGTCTCTGAATGAGAAGATGAAATCGGAGGCTGAAAAGAACACCAAGTATGGGCAGATAGCTGCTGAAGAACTTCCAAAAGGCCTCTATTGTCTTGGTATCAGGCTCACCATGGAATGGTTTGGGAATCCAAATCTTCAGAGAGACTTGTTGGAACGGAAGCACAGTTTGGAGAAGCTGAGAGACAATAATCTCTATCATTATTGTATCTTCTCTGACAACGTCCTTGCTACATCAGTTGTGGTTAACTCTACCAGTATGAACTCGAAGAATCCAGATAAGATTGTGTTCCACCTGGTCACAGATGAGGTGAATTATGCTCCCATGAAGGCCTGGTACTCCATGAACAATTTTCGAGGTGCAACCATCGAGGTCCAGAAGGTGGAGGACTTTAGCTGGCTCAATGCCTCATATGTACCAGTTCTAAAGCAGCTTCAGAACTCTGAAACACAGAACTTCTACTTTTCTGGAACTGGTGATAACCGGACACCTATTAAGTTTAGGAACCCAAAGTACTTATCAATGCTAAACCACCTGCGGTTCTATATCCCAGAAGTCTATCCAGCGTTGCAAAAGGTCGTGTTTCTCGATGATGATGTAGTAGTCCAGAAGGATCTCTCAAAGTTGTTTACAATTGACCTTAATGGAAATGTGATGGGTGCTGTTGAGACTTGCATGGAGACGTTCCACAGGTTCCATAAATATCTGAACTACTCCCATCCCCTGATACGTGCACATTTTGATCCTGATGCATGTGGGTGGGCATTTGGAATGAACGTCCTTGATTTGGGGGAGTGGCGAAAGAAGAACGTAACCGGCATATATCACTACTGGCAGGAGCATAATGCTGACCACACCCTCTGGAAGCTTGGAACATTGCCTCCTGGACTTCTGGCCTTCTATGGGCTGGTTGAGAAGTTGGATGCCAATTGGCATGTCCTAGGATTGGGGTATACGAACGTTGACCCATTGCTCATAAAAAATGGTGCAGTATTGCACTATAATGGGAACATGAAACCATGGCTGAAGATTGGCATGGAGAAGTACAAGGGTTTGTGGGATAAGTATGTGGACTACTCGCACCCTTTGTTGCAACAATGCTTCATGCATGGATAGACAAATGTGGGGCCAGTATAACTGTTGTTTGTGCAATTTATCAGGTTGGCAGAATCCGTAGAACAGCCAGTGCCTGCTGCAACATGTAAAATTCTTGAGGAAACCATAGACTTTAGATATACATTGTTTCTTTTTGAGAAATTTTCAGTTTCATCCTGCTAGGTTCAAGATGTGGTTACTGGTTAGTGTCGGTTGTGTTGTAGGCCAGTTGAACCCCTTAATTCAATTCATCTCATGGCTCCATCTTTTGAAAGATATATTGTTCTTTGTACTAAGACGAGATTGTTATAATGAAGGAATTTGTAGTAGATATATTAGCACATGATCATACTTATATTGAAACAGGATAAGATTAATTTATTTTATGTCCTACTCATGACTCATTTATGGATGTTTGTGAGATTTCTCTTGCACTTTCCTCTTCAATCTGAGAATCTCATGAGATTTCCTGATGAAGTTTTAACAAACTGAACAAGTTGTTTCAAGCTTTGTTGTTTGATATGTAAAGACTTCCACTTTTCACCTACCTCATTGCTTTCAGCAATGCATACCTTGCCTTACAATGCTTAAAGCAGGCTATGCAGCAGAGGAGCAGAAAGTGGACCTGCTGAAATCCAGTTTATAGTGTGTAATGAGTCCAATTGTAATAGGCAGAAGAAAGGGCAAAGAGTTCAGAGATAAGTAGCATGGTTATTGTTAGATTGATTGATTAATGAATTACAAGGGACGAATTATAATAAATCTTTACTCTGAAGAGTTGCTTCAACTTTCAGGACATAAATCTTTACATACATATAGAATGTAGTTGATCCCTAAATTTGGTAATTATCCCTCTAGATTTTATGTTTAGCATACATATAGATTTTATGTTAATTTTCACCAATAACTCAATTAAAATTCTAGTTGGCATTACTAACATTTAAATAACATTATTATCAGAATATCAAGAATATTTTAGGTATCTATATGTCTTTTAAAACAAAATTATGTAAAAGGATCTTAATAACCGGAGAAATATATATGCCATATCAAAATTTAAATGGCTATGTACAGTGTTTTTCATACTTTGAGAGGATACACATGTAAAAACTCATAATAAAAATTTACTTATTGAGGTTGATAAAAATAACCAAGTGATGTGATGCCAGAATTATGAATCTCTAATTTGGAGACTATATTGTGATGATAAAAGAATATTTCATGTAATTTATACAGAAATAACAAATATTATTTCGATTGTTTAGGCTGTTGCATGAGTCTTTTCCTCTCTTTGAGCCTTTACTTAGTTAAATTATATATCTAATTCTCAATATATATATATATATGTGTGTGTGTGTGTG